CGCCAGGTCACTGACAGATTCCCCGAGCCCGCAGTGTCGGCGTCGTACCTTGCTTTCAGGGAACAGGCTGGGGTCTCTCTTCAGAGGACTCACCCAACTGCAGACGCTCTTGAGTGCTTTCCTGAGTGGTCTCCGTGCCTCCCACCAGTTTGTGAAGCTGGAGCGGCTGCCCTTCAGTGTGGAGGTGCAGGAAAGGGCCCGCATCCAGCAGCCCATCCCATGTAGGGACTGGTTAGCAGCCAAAGCGGCTCTCAGACCAGCCATGCTCCTTCATCCAAATTCACGCTGCCCTGCAGACCTCTCCCCATGTCCTGCTGCTTTGGTGCCGAGTGTCAAGTCTGCGTGTGTCCCAGAAACAAGTCTACTTGTTTCTGACGTGGACTTTTAGTCCCTGTGTTTAGAGTGGGCATCTTCTGACACCTGGAGTGAGGGATTCAGATCCCAGTGTGTCAGTGTGTCTGAGCGGGGACAGCCAGCTTGCCTCTGGGGCCTGAGGCTTGGGTTGTTTGGTCAGGAAGCCCCAGAGCCTGGGTTGAGGTAGGTAGCCTGTAACCTGTTAGAAGGGAGGACCCCAGCCACGAAGATTGTCTCCACCGTGATGACTCTGTTGGGGGGTCCCAGCCTCTTCTTGGGTTGAACAGTGAATGCCCAGCAGTGAGCAGGGAGGCCTGTGGCACCCTGGCACCCTCTACCCTCCCAGAGGACCCATGGAAGAAGTGGCGAGCCTGGTTCCTGACGTGTGGCTCTGCCTGGCTTAGGACAAGTCGTGGGAGGTGATGAGAGTTGCTTTCTCCGCGTCTGCATCTTTCGCTTTGCTGGCGTGGCCGTTTCTCTAAGCCGAGGGAGAGGATGACTGGATGCGGAGGGGTGGGATGGCGTGGAGCCCTAGAGATTGGACAGCCGGTGCGGGGGGGGTGGTTGGGTTGGGAAGACCAGGTAGATGGAAGATGAAGGTGCAGTTGAGACTTGTTCTCAGCTAGTTTATCACTGAGAAAATAAGAGGGAGGACTCAAGTCCCCTTGGCCCTGCAGCTTGCCAGACGGGTCCTGCTAGGCACAGGACGATTGACCCAGTGTTCCCTGCTCTCCCAAGAAAATCAACTGGAGTGCACCACCGGCCAGTCTGAGCCTCGGAGCTGAAAGCCTTTGTGAAGCCGTTTCATTGACTGCCCCTAAAGGAATGAGTCTAGAGTGCTGCATGTCCCAGGCCCTGAGGGAACCATGGCCATGGTGCTCGTCCTCGTGTTACTGACCGGTTTGGAATACTGACGTGTTTGTAACCAAGGGGAATGAGGTGGCCTCGGTGGTCTCAGTTGTCATCGGGAATGTGGGCTCAAGAAAAACGTCTTGTGGAAAAGAAAACGGAACATTAGGGATGACACTCCTAACCTGATAGCTAACAGTGTTCCCAGTCCTCCGGAAGACATGGTAAAGGGCTCACAGGGGCCCTGAGGACAGTGACCTTTAGGAGTGAGTGAGGCCCACTGGTGGGCACAGGACATGGCACGCCTGGCCAGTGGCTGGCACAGAATGTCCCTTGGGCCATGGTGATGAGGTTTGGGGCTGCCCTCACCCTGCGACAGATCGCATGGAATTAGCTGGTTGTTCACAAAATGAAATGTGAAAATTAATAAAGGGAAATCTCATTTACAGTGGAGGAGGGAGGCGAGGCGAGCAGGGGGAACTCACGCCCAGCACTAGCTGTCACTTACAGATCCAACGGGAAAAGACTTTTACTAACCCAACAGGAGGAAGGAAGGTTTCTTCCTCCCCCAGCAACAGCCCAGCTCCCATGTTCACCCCAATAAACTTTTAGTTATCAGCAGCCCTACCCCACCCCACTCCATCCCTTTCTGTTATAAAAGAGCCTCCTTTGTTTTGTTCCCTGGAATTGCCTATGGTTTGGGGCTGGCTTGTCTGTCCTGGGTTGCCATTCTCTGCTCTTCCAAAATAAAGCCATTTTTGCTGGTGAAATAACTAGCAGTTTCATTTTGAACATTAACAGAACGTACTGGCAGGTGTCTGCTGGTAGCAAGGGACAGCTGCCTGGGTCCAAGGAACTTGCCCAGAGACTTGCACCCAAGGCCTCGGTGGTTTAATTGTAATGCTGACAGTGAGAGCCGTAACGGGCAACATTGGTGTAGCACTGAATGGTTTGCAGAGTACTCTCTACGCCGCTGGGTGCACCTTGCAGGGCCGTTGTGGAAGGCCCTTCACGTGGCACTCCGTGGCTCACCTTGTACTTCCAGATTACCCTCTCTGTCCAGTCCTGGGCAGAGCTCTTTCCCAGTAATGCTGGGCGTCCGCCTCAGAACTCGGCCCAGGGCGCCATGAAGATGGAAGATGCTGGATGAGAGGCTGAGAACTCACTTCACTCCTTCCTCCTGCCCTGTGCCTGCTGTGGCTGTTTCGAAAGATAATTGGGCTGTGGAGGCTGGGGCAGTTGTCGTGGAACGGTACTGTGTTCTCTTCGTGCTGTTCTGTAGCTCTTGTCTCTCCCACGGAGGGCAGGTGGAAGAAGGAGGCAGGCCTTTCAGTTCAGGGGTCTCAGAACTCTACTTTGAATAGAGAGACCACCTACCAGAGACATTTCAGGGACACGTAGTGAAGTCACTTGTTCGAAGAATGAAGTGGCTATCTGTGCCCGTCTCTTGGTGTAGACACTGTGGAGTAGGCTGGGAGATTGGGGTTCAGACATCGTGGGGCCTGCACTGAGGCCACGTGCTGGTCCGGGTCTTTCCTATGCGATCACGGACTCTGGTATTTCACATTCACGAGCAGGAGGGTTGGACATCCCATGATGACTGTGCTCGATTTCCCACCATGAGAGCAGGCAGTCACATACTGTTTTTTTAAACTTCTACTGAAACGTTGCTGATGAGTTCCAGCAGCTGTCTCTCAGTCAGGCTCTGAGAGGCTACTTTTCCAGGCTGAGATGTTCTAGTGTGGTACTGGAAAATTGGAGAGGAAGGTCGAATTCATAGTTTCAAGCAGAGATGGAAAATGCCGTTTTTGGCCTCCACCACTGGAGCGTGTGAATGGAAACACCCTGTCCACCTGCTTTGTGTGCGGGGGGAGGAAGTATCGGGAAGTGACTAAAGTTGGTCAGCCTTGTCCCTCTTCCCAAAATAAATTTAGATGTCTTCTTAGGTCAGTTAAGTATGAAGAGAATACTTCGTGAAATTTTATCAGTTAATGTGGAAAAATAAGAGGATCTCCGGAAGACATGGTAAAGGGCGCACAGGGGGCTGACAAAACCAGGGAGTGGAGCTCCACTTACCGATTGCATTTGAACATTGTATTTCAGAAGCCACACTTTATACATAGTGGAGGCCGCTTAATTCCAGGTGACTTAGTTACAAAAACTACTTATTATCCAAAATGGCAAAGCACAGAGTTGTTCACTGAGGGAAGAGGAGATGAAATAGTACACATGGTTTGTTTGTATAAAATGTTTTCTACGGGGCGCCTGGGTGACTCAGTCGTTAAGCGTCCGCCTTTGGCTCAGGTCATGGTCCCAGGGTCCTGGGATCGAGCCCTTCATCGGGCTCCCTGCTCCGCGGGGAGCCTGCTTCTCCCTCTCCCACTCCCCCTGCTTGTGTTCCCTCTCTCGCTATGTCTCTCTCTGTCAAATACATAAAATCTTTAAAAAATAAAAATAAAAAAATAAAATGTTTCTAACTCAGAGGATGAAAATTTAAAAGTAGGGGCACCTGGGTGGCTCAGTTGATTAAGCATCTGCCTTTGGCTCTCAGGTCATGGTCCCGGGGTCCTGGGATCGAGTCCTGTGTCGGGCTCCCTGATCAGCGGGGAGTCTGCTTCTCCCTCTGCCCTTCACATCGCTCGTGCTCTCTATCAAATAAATAAATAAAATCTTAAAAAAAAAAATACAAAAAGTATAAAAAGGAAGATAGTGGCTTTTGGGAAGACTGCGTGGAGCAAACAGGAGGCCGGGAAGGGGTAGACAAGGCCGTGTTCTAAGAAGGTCCATGTTGCCATGGTCTGGTCAGGTCAGTATGGCCGCGGGCAGAGACTGAAAGGAGGTTGATTCCCCTCTTAGGTCCCAGAGGGAGCCCACCCGGGGCCACCAGGGAAGGCACCAGGGTGGCCAGGAGGCCGAAGATAGGAGTAAGGATAAGGTCTTTGCTGGGGTTTCGGCTAGAAGAGCAGGTGGGCAGGGTGGACAGCTCAGGACTGGCTGGTTGGAATAATGCTGTGGGTTGTTAGGGTGGTCTCTGGTTGCCTGGTGGCTGGCTTGTGTGTGTTAGATAAAGAGATGGTTGGTGGTTTTATGTAGGAAAGGTTTACTATCTCTAAGAAAGGGCTAGCTCTGGGAGGGGCAGTCTCTCCCCAGACAGCAGGTTTTTTGGGGATTTTTGTTTGTTTGTTTTTTTAAAACGTGTCAAAACATGGTAAAATACAGAATTAAGCCAGCACATGTCCTGGCATTTTCCTGGGAAATACAGGGGCTGGGCCTCAGGCCCCTGTTCAGGGTCTGGCTCAATGGGTACAAATCGGGGCACCAGAGCTGCCTGGACATCTGGGGGGACTGTGAGGACTCCTTGAGAGGCATCCCATGGGGCTGGTTTCAGCTCATTTTATTTGGGAGAAGTTGGGAAATTGGGTCTGTGTGGCTCTCATCCTCACCTTCTATCTGGGGGCAGTGTGGGAAGGGAGCTGACTTCCAGGGGGTGCAGGTGGTGAGTGGGGTCGAGGCCATGGCTTAGAGGGTGGTGGTTGTGATGTTCTGCCCCTGGGATGTGACCTTGCCCGTGGAGCAGTTAAAGGGGACCTGGAAGAGCAGGGCCAAGCTCTCCATCCTGGAGTGGGCCGCTGGGCCGTGAGTCCTGAGGTCCCTTCCTGGGCACCCGTCCCAGCGGGGAGCACAGCCCCCGTCAGAGCGGTAGGTGACATCCAGTCCATTCTGGGGCATGAATTTGAGATTGCCTGGGCTTTGTGTGCATTGGTCCTGATTGACCCTGTGTGTCCTCTCTTTTGAAGCAGACGGTCGATGACGAAGCGATGGCCGTATAAATGAAGATCAGGTGAGGGAAGAAGAACGATGCCCAAGGGTGGGTGTTCTAGAACACCACAGCACGAAGACTTTTCCCTCAGCAACGACATGGTGGAGAAACAGACGGGGAAAAAGGTAACGCCTGGGCTGCCCTCGCCCTCGCTGGCTCACCGTTCCTGGCCTCTGTGTGTGTCCCTGTCCTTGTCGATGTCCTCTGCAGCCACAGTGACCCAGGGAGGGTCTTCTTAAGGAACCAGAGGGAAGCTTTCATGAGGTTTGTGCGTGTTGCTGTGGCCCCACATTCTCTGGTCTGGGAGCCATAGATGTCTGTCGCGGCTTCAGTGAGATCAGACCTGATGCTGAACCGTATCTGCCTCGTCCTGACCAGAAACACCGCTGGGGTGTGCTTGTACTTGTGCTGTGGCCGGTGGTCCGCGTGACTCTGTGAAAAGGCACTGTAACCCCCAGTCACTGTGTCCGTGATGTGCGGTCACCTCTGGGCTCCAGGGTGCACACCCCGCCCCGTAGCCTGGGGGCGCTGCTGAGTGTGGACTTGGAATCAGACAGAAGCAGCAGGTGCAGGCTCTGCCCTGTGTTGTCTGTGACCGTGAGTGTGTCTGCAGTAAGAGCAAGAGCGACTCGTGCTGGCTTGTCCGTGGGGCGGCACTGCTCTTCACCCTAGAGCTGTCCCTGTCCCCCTGACGCCCTCGTGGGAGGCCGTCGACGCTGTGACGTGTGTGAACGGAAGCTCGGTGTCAGAGCACCTGCTGTCTCCGCTGACACCCTGGTTGGGTGGGGTACGAGGAGATGAGTGAGCAGAGCCGTGCCCTTCATCTGGCTGAGGTGAGACGGGGGGCGGGTTGTGAACGTAGGCGTGCCTAGGTGCTCATCACAATGACCGGGCTGCAGAGGCTCTGGTGGGTGGGCGTCTGTGGCCACACGTTCTGTCCCACTTGCCTGTCTCCCAGCACCCTGTATCATGTGCAGGAACAGGTAGGAGCCACCACATGGAGCTGTGGGCAGGCTGAGGCTGGAGCTTGGTCTGAACTTGCATGGGAGTGGCGTGGAGGGTCTGGTTGCAGCCTGGGATGGGCGTGTGCTGGTGTGCCCACGAGGAGCTGGAGCCACTGGAGACAGATGTGCCCTGGCTGAGCGTGGGAACTCTCCCTCTGGGACACTTCCACACCCAACGGCCAGACCACCGTTGGTAGTCAGGGTTCCCAGGCCTGTGTGTGGGTTTTCCTGCGACAGGATTCCGTGGTCACAGGGCAAGGGAGAGGCCCCACGCGTCCCTGTCTGGGCTGCCTTTTCTGCCTCCAGACGGGCTCTGCCGAGTCGACGGGTAGCTGGGGCTTCAGACTGCTGCGCCCCCCAGCTTGGGTCTTCTCTGCCCAGTAAGGCCTCTCCACCGAGGCAGACACCAGAAAAGGCCCCCAGAGCTCAGTGCCTGCCTTGGAGGGGTCGCCTTCTAACACAGGGCTCGCTCTAGGCTGGTTGCAGCTGCTTTGTTTTCCTTACGGAGAGCAGTCACTGGACGAAGCTGGCCTGGCGTTGGCAGCATGGCAGCCTGCACACGTTTGCCACGGGAGATGTGTGCATTTGGCTTTGCTTTTCTCCTCAAGTAAAGTAGCTCTGTACTTAGCCCTGTACCACCCAAGATAGACATTTTGTTGGCTTCTGTTGCGACCCGTTTTGCTAGCGGGGGACGCTCAGCAGCAGCTTTGAGTGAACTCCCTGCCCCAGCCCAGCTGCTCAGCAAGGTTCGGAGCCCAGCTCTCCCCTGAGAGCCTGAGAGCCTCGTCGGAGCCGCTGTGATGCTCTTGGGGGAGCCCCTGACCCGCTCTGGTTACATTGCAGGTGTTGGCTTTCCCTGCACGGCTCATGGCGGAGGAGCTGGGACTCAAGAACGGTCTACTTCTTAGTGAAATAGAGTTCAAGCCCCCATCCCCATCAGAACATGCAGTATGACCCCCGCCTTTGGAGGCCTCCTTACGGCCCCTCCCGACATCCATCACTGTGGAGGGACCTCCCCTGTTGGGATTTGTAAGAGGGGACTTGCTCTTGAACAGTACGTCCCCTGTGCAGGCTTTTCCTGTGGGCAGCCCCCCACCTCCCCGTGCGGTCTGCACCGTACTAATGTCCAGCCCCTTCCCTACGCGTTCTTCTGCTGAGCAGCGTTTGGGCTGCTCCACTTGGGGGAGTAACAGAGTGAAGGCGTGAACATGTGCACATCAGTAGATACGGTTTAGTGGGTAGAGGCTGGCCTGTGTCCTTCTCACACAGCGGCTTGCCTTCCTTTTAGTCCCTCGGAGACGTTGGCAGCATCTTGTACCTTTTATCTCTGTTCTTCTGTCTCGTGCTGGTCGTGGGGATGGGCTCCTGTCAGTGTTTGCCCTGTAAGGTGGGGGTCAATGTGTATTTTCTTCCCTGTGGATATTCACATGGTCCCCGTCACTTACTGAACAGGGTCCCTCCCCCGCCATGTCTCTGCTGAGTGTTTTTCCCCAGGCAGGTGCGGCTGCAGCCTCTTCTCTTTGGTCTGAACCTTTGGCCCTTGGTCCAGGGCCGCCTCCAGCGACTTCTGTCGTCTTAACAGTCTGCGTGTTTGTGGTTCCTCAGCATTGTCTTGCTCATTCTGCCCCTTCGCGTTTCCACACAGGTTTTGGAGTAAGCTGGTTGGTTTCCACAGAAAGCCTGCTGGTGTTTTGACTGGATCACTTTGAATGTAAAGCTGAGTTTTCAGAGAATCGTCCTATTAACAGTTTTGCAGTTTCTGACCCATGAACAGGAGTATATCTCCTTTTTTTTTTTTTTTTTTTAAGATTTTATTTATTTATTCATGAGAGAGCAAGAGAGAGAGGGAGAAGCAGGCTCCCCCGCTGAGCAGGGAGCCCTATTCGGGGCTCGATCCCAGGACCCTGAGATCATGACCTGAGCTGAAGGCAGACGCTTAACAACTGAGCCACCCAGACCCCCAGTATTCCTCCATTTTTATGTCTTTGTTTTCTCTCAGTAATGTTTTGTCATTGTGTGGAGGGCTTAAATTAGCATCTTTTGTTAGATTCATTCCTGTGTATTTGATGTCTTTTGATACTAACTGGATACTTTAACATCATTTTCTAATTGTTTATAGTCAATACAAATCAGCTACCTTTCTGTAACCAGCAACTTCAAATTCACTTATTAATCTGCATGGTTTGATTTTCACGTATATACTCATAACATCTTAAGATTAATACTTTGTTGGGGCGCCTGGGTGGCTCAGTCGTTAAGCGTCTGCCTTTGGCTCAGGTCATGATCCCAGTGTCCTGGGATCGAGCCCCGCATCGGGCTCCCTG